TCCTAGTTTCCCCCCTCCCCCTTTCCCTCCCCTCCCCCCTGTTTGAATTTCATCCTGGGGAGAACCCTGGAAACCTATGTCATTTTCGTAAATGTGGGGGTAGCCCCTTTAAAATCGACAGGGGTACTCTAACTCTCCCTATACCTCGCAGTCACGATACGGTGCTGCTGACAAGTACTAAGAGTAAGACATAACACGAGGAGAATGCCCACTGACCATGTATTATATATATAGTTTATATTTTCAAGTCCTAACTTGTTTCTGAAAGTATAAACACGTACCCGCCCTCCCACTTTGTTGTTATTCCTTGGATACCAGCTACTTTTACCACTTGAACAGCTGACAGCTGCAGCTTGTAGTGATCACTTACTGTCGGAATGCATCGGCTAGGATATTGCGTCAGTTATTTCCACAAACTTTGCTTTGCTCATAGCAAAAATAATGGATCAACGTACAACTACCGGGCCATTTCATCATCACTGCCTGCACGCTCTGCACGCTTTCTAGTTAGTTACCGGTAGGTGGCGGGTGTGTGCCAATCAACATCCGGAAGGTAGATATGGCACACATTCGTTCATTTGATATTGTAATACATGCGTGAAGAGATAGAGACCCAGTCTAACTTGAAGGCAAGAAATTTCTGATTGATTCGATTGATGAAGAATGCTTGATGATCCCATACTTTGCATAACTATTTAGAATTTACACCGCTTTACCCTTCGCGTATGATATTGTCATTATTGATACTTTTGATGGATTCTTTACTCTGTCTTACACCGAGTCTCACTTGCTCTCTATTTCCGAATTTCGTATCGTAGCCCTAAGCCTAAGGCGAGGGGGGACTGATAAAAAACTTTTAGTGGCCAACGACAGGTGTCGCTGGGATTTGTTTATAAGATGGCAAGTGGAGAGGACGTAGAAATACCAGGTTTGTTGCAAATTAGCTGTTAATAAGTCAACCCGACTTACACGTGGCTTACTATTACTAAGTTATTGTACAAGGTACATGTACAACTACAACTACAAGGTGTTACCGCCTCTTGAGTTGAATTGGAAGTCTTACAATAAATAATGACACATTGTTATCTTTGCTACTAAAAGTAAATACTCAACAGAAACATTTCATTGCTTGGTCACTAGACACTATATAAGTATAGCTCTAGAACTATATCCCACGTACAGTTGCCGCAGGGCTATAGAACATTCCATTACGAATGCTCGGGACCAACTTACTCCAGCCAGTCGGCGGGAACTATGTATTTCCGCACGCGGAGGGGTGGGCGGAGTGTGTTGGTTGTGGACAAAAACATTTTTGTTGTCAAGTAACTAATTAATAATAGCAATTTGCTCATCTTTCATGACAAAACTAATAGTACGTACCATCTTTTTTGATCGCTTAATTTAATTGTTACTTGACAACAACAAGGTTTTTGTCCATAACTAACACAACGCACCTTCGATATAGTCGCTTGGACTTTGAAGACTAATTTTTACGAGGTTACGTTAGATATGTATATATA